TCAGGAGCCAGGGGTGGTCAGTTCAGCATTTGTTGGGAAGGGGCGAGGCAAAGACAGCTGCCTTCAAGGGAAGAAGTAAACACCGAAGCGTTCCCATGAGCAAATCCTATTGGTCAGCGACATGAGCTTGCCTGTCTTATTTTCCTTGAACGGGAAGACGCTGGATGCTTCTCTGACTGTATATGTTTCAACTGGAGTCCACATGGTGTGCCTGCCCGGTACTGGGAGGTTTAAGGAAAACCAGTTTATGGTAATCACTGGGGAAATGCCCAGTACTGGGAGGTTTAAGGGAATCCAGTTTATGGTAATCACTGGGGAAATGAAACCAACACTGAGAAGTACTGGAAGCTGATGGTGAGTCTGGAGAAGCAAAGAGACCAGAGGTAGAAAACCCTAGTTATGCTGTGTGATGACTATATGCGGGTATACTTAGTGCTGGGGAGAGGCTCTAGACCAGCAGTCCACTGCAGATCCAGTGCCAAACCTGGGGGTCCTGATGGGACCCCACAGAGGAAAGGAGCCCCCTGGGGCAGCAGCAGGAAGGGATAGAATTTGAGGAAAAGGAAGCCATTGGTCCCTGGGTATATGGTACGGGAGGCCTGAGCAGACAGTCTCTTTGATTTCTGGTATTTCATCCCCAAGGTGGACCCACATAACTTTCCCCAAGAACCTGGGAAACTGTATTTGCATGTAACCAGGGAGAGAGTCTGTTGTCAAAGTATAATTTTCAAAACTTAGAAATACGATTCTCATAAAGATATAAAATGAACGCGTCAACATTTTATTTCGCCTATCGTGGCAGAAACGAGCAAGACGGCAAACTGATGCAATGGGTATTTGAGGAACTGGGTATTTATAGGTTTGAAAAAAAAAAAAGGATGTTAGATTAAGATTGCTAGGCTATACACAACACTGGGCAGTGTCCTATAGGGCAATATAACCACAACCTTTGAGGTTTTTATACCATTCAGAAATCTGCACGTTAGCATGTAACCTCAATGTGCGTGGGGTCTAATCAGACAGTAAATAGCAAAGTCAAACACAAGGCCGTCCTCCTAGAGAAGGAAACGCTCTGAGGAGCGCTGGTTCCCACAGTGCTACAGTGTGGCGTGGAGGGTGTGCTGCCCTCTCCTCTCCCACACCCTGTCCACTCCTGCTCAACTGCCCGAGGAGCGCTGGTTCCCACAGTGCTACTGCCTCAGTACTGCTGCCCACTCCTCTCCCACACCCTGTCCACTCCTGCTCAACTGCCTCAGCTCCAAGATTTGGATAGTTTTATTCACATTTAAAAACGACGTTGGAGTTAAGGAAATCTGAGGTTGGATTCTAATTCCTTCGCTTACCAGTTGTGCAATATTGGGCAGGTAGTCACCTGTGACTGGATTTACTTGCTATAAATTGGGAGGAGCAAATGAGATAGCTTTTGTAAAGTCCCTGGCACATGATCAGCAATCAGTAAATCTTAGTTCTGCTCTTCCCTCTTCATAAAATGAAAATTTTTTTTACCTTTTGTGTCTAGTTTCCTCCTTCCCTCCCATTTTTCCTTCCTCATCTCCAGTTTATTAGAATAATGTCCTAGAATTCCATGGATTTTCTGCATTGTTAATGGAGGTATCCTATTTTCATCTAAATGGGGGAAAAAAGATTTTAACTTTTTAAAAAAAATCCTCACCCCCGAGGTCATTTTCATTGACTTTTTTTTTTAGAGAGAGAGAGAGAGCAAGAAACATCCACGTGAGAGAGAAACATTGATCAGCTGCCTCTAGCATGGGGATGGAACCCACAACCTTGGTATGTGCCCTGACTGGGTATCTAACCTTCAAGTCTTTGGTGTGCAGGATGATGCTCCTACCAGCTGAGCCACGACTCCAGCCAGGGCGATTTTAACATTTTTTTAATTTAAAAAAATCCCAGCTTTATTGAGATAATGAACATATAACAGGTGTACAACATCGTGATTTGAGATAAGTATTATTGCACAATGATTAGCATGGTAGGGTTAACACATCCATCACCTCACATATTTACAGTGTTTTTTTCTTTGTGTGGTGAGAACTTCTAGGATTTACTTTCAGAAGCTTTCAGATATCCACTGCAGTATTGCCAGCCAAAGTCGTGGTACCACATTGGGTAGTGTGCTTTATTTAGAGAACCCTCTGCATATGAAAAAATGGAGAGAGGTTACTTAATTAAAGATGATTTCTTACTTTATATTCGGTTTTCTTTTTCTGAGGTTGGTAATGGGGTATTTCTTGTTGAAGTGTAAATATCAGCCTGGGTATTTCCGTGTCTGCTCGGTGCCTGCTCTGGGTTGAGCTTTGCCAGGAGCGGGGACGGACACACAGAAGCCTTCCACCTGCTCGCCACCTCTCTTCTTACTCGTGAAGGTCAGCCCAGGGGGGTTAACAGTGATGCCGGAGGGATTGTGAGCTGGTGTCTGGTATAGGCAGCTGGTCCTCATGCCGGATGGGGTTTCTGTGGAGCAGATTCTCTTCCCTCCTCCACAGCCCCTCACTGGTGTGTTCTGGCATGTGCTGGCCTGCAGGATATTGACCTGCGATTCAAAATGGCAGAAGCTGTGATATCAAGAGCCTCTTCAGACTTTTGACTTGGAGAAAGGAGTCCTTTTCTAGTTAGAAACTTTTATAGAGACCAGAGAAGCATCTTTTTACTTTTGGCTTACAGTGGTCGGCAAACTGCGGCTCGCGAGCCACATGTGGCTCTTTGGCCCCTTGAGTGTGGCTCTTCCACAAAATACCACGTGCAGGCGCGCAGGTACAGTGTGATTGAAACAGGACTGGCTCATTTTTCTGCCAGGGGCTCGTTGATGAGCTTCTGATGTGGCTTCGGAGGAGTGAGGATAAGATGGAATTGCCCTCGACTCTGCCTCCCTCCCTTGCAGGACACGGTATTAATGTAGTTTAATAGGTGAGGGATCCCAATTCTGAACTCAGTTCTGCCACCACTTATATTGCTGTTTCTTCTTCTTTTCGTGTTTATACCGTCTTTTCCTGTCCTGCCTCAAGACACAGTGCAGTGTAGTTTAACCATTGCTCAATGTTAATGGTCACACAAGGGAACATTCTGTAACCCTGTTTCCTCATTTGTATGTCATAGTTTTCAATAAGGTGATACAATCAGTGCCTCGACAGTCCGTGCTCCATTCATTCATTCGTTAGGCAGCATGTGTTTACTGAGCAACAGCTCTGTGCCAAGCCCTGGCGAGTTTTCTGTACACATGATCAATAGGAACCTGCCCTGATGGAGGCAGATTGCCGCCTCATAATCAAACAAGGTTTTAGAGATTATGATAAGATTATGAATGAAATAAATCAGATGACGCAAAACTATAAGTAAACTGCTATTTTTAGTCATTTTAATTAGGGTTATCAGAGCCGGTCTCCTTGAAGAGGTGGCTTTCTGAGCTGAAAACAGAAGGATGAGAACGGTCAGTCACGGGAAGAGTTGAGTGAAGAGCATTCTATAAAAGAGCGAGCAATTCGGAGAGGTGTGGGATGAGTTTGTCTTGTTAAAGGAGCAGAAACCTCAGACCTGTGCCTTATGTGGAGTGAGGAAGGGGGCAGCGGGTTGGGGGAG